AGAGCAACGGCCTCTGGCTCAACTGTGGCGGATTGGAGCTGCCTGACAGACTCGCGGATACCGTCGATCGAAGCTGCAAGCAGCTCTTGCAGATGTCCAGAGCTTGTAGCCTCATCCGCACCACCGGCATCATTCAGGCTGTTGGCCTCCATCGCCAGTTGCAACTTGTCTATCTGCAGCCTTATTGCCTCAACTGCAGCCGGAACTTCCGCATCTGACTCTGTCACACGCTGCTTCAACTGCCTCACTGACTCATTGATGCCGTCGACCGAAGAAGCAAGATCTTGCATCTGTGTACGGCCTGCTGCGCTTGCGGCCTCCAAGTGACCCACGCGACCACTGGCGTCATGCAGCCTGTTGGCTTCGATTTCGTTCTGCAGACTCACGATTTGCTTCCTCATGGCCTCAACTGCCGCCGGCATCGTCGCATCTAGTGGCACCACGACACCCTCCAGCTGCTTAAAAGATTCTTGGATGCACCCAATCGATGCTGCAAGCTCCTGCAGCTGTGCACGTCCTGCCGCGCTTTCCAGAACCACACGCTCGACGCGGCCGCTGATGTCATTCAGCCTGCTTGCTTCCAGCGACTCCGCATTATCCATCTGCTTCCTCATGGCCTCAACTGCCGCCGGAAGCTCTGCATCTAGTGGGTGCACAACACCTTCCAGCCTCTTGACAGACTCCTGGATGCCACCAAATGATGCCGCAAGCTCCTGCAGCTGCGCACGCCCTGCTACACTTTCAGAAACCGCATGCTCGACGCGGCCACTGATGTCATTCAGCCTGCTGGCTTCCATCGACTCCACATTCTCGATCTGCTTCCTCATGGCCGCAACTGCTGCCGGGAGCTCGGCATCTAGTGGGCTCACAACACCTTCCAGCTGCTTTACAGACTCTTGAATGCCACCAATCGATGCGGCAAGCTCCTGCAACTGCGCACGACCTGCTGCGCTATCAGAAACCACATGCTCGACACGGACGCTGATGTCATTCAGCCTGCTGGCTTGCATCGACTCCACATTATCCATCTGCTTCCTCATGGCCTCAACTGCCGCCGGAAGCTCTGCATCTAGTGGGTGCACAACACCTTCCAGCCTCTTGACAGACTCCTGGATGTCGCCAAATGATGCCGCAAGCTCCTGCAGCTGCGCACGCCCTGCTGCACTTTCAGAAGCCGCATGCTCGACGCGGCCACTGATGTCATTCAGCCTGCTGGCTTCCATCGACTCCACATTCTCGATCTGCTTCCTCATGGCCGCGACTGCTGCCGGGAGCTCGGCATCTAGTGGGCTCACAACACCTTCCAGCTGCTTTACAGACTCTTGAATGCCACCAATCGATGCGGCAAGCTCCTGCACCTGCACCCGTCCTGCTGCGCTTTCAGAAACCACGTGCTCGACGCGGCCACTGATGTCATTCAGCCTGCTGGCTTGCACCGCCTCCACATTCATCTGCTTCCTCATGGCCTCAACTGCCGCCGGAAGCTCTGCATCTAGTGGGTGCACAACACCTTCCAGCCTCTTGACAGACTCCTGGATGCCACCAAATGATGCCGCAAGCTCCTGCAGCTGCGCACGCCCTGCTACACTTTCAGAAACCGCATGCTCGACGCGGCCACTGATGTCATTCAGCCTGCTGGCTTCCATCGACTCCACATTCTCGATCTGCTTCCTCATGGCCGCAACTGCTGCCGGGAGCTCGGCATCTAGTGGGCTCACAACACCTTCCAGCTGCTTTACAGACTCTTGAATGCCACCAATCGATGCGGCAAGCTCCTGCACCTGCGCCCGTCCTGCTGCGCTTTCAGAAACCAAGTGCTCGATGCGGCCGCTGATGTCATTCAGCCTGCTGGCTTCGATATCGTTCTGCAGACTCACGATTTGCTTCCTCATGGCCTCAACTGCCGCCGGCATCGTCGCATCTAGCGGCGCCACGACACCCTCCAGCTGCTTTACAGACTCGTGGATGCCACCAATCGATGCTGCAAGCTCCTGCAGCTGCGTGTTACCCGCTGCGCTTGCAGCCTCCACCTGCTCGACACGGCCATTGATATCATTCAGCCCGTTGGCTTCCATCTCGCTCTGCAAACTTCCGAGCTGCCGTTTGATGGCTTGCAGTTCATCCGTGTGTTGCCCAATGCTTTGGAATGCTGCTCGGCAATCTTCACCGAACTCGGTGGTCACGTGCGGCTGTCGGGACTCTTTCATTTCGTCCAAGGCAGCTTCAAGCAGGTGCATCTCTTTCTGGGCTTCCGAATGGGCAGCCTCTAATGTTTCCACTTGATCTCGAAAGGCGTGCAGTTCGTTTGCAAGTCCGACCAGCGTCTCGTCTGCAGTAGTTCTCCACCCTTGCATACCTTCTTTGGTATCTTCGAGTGAACCTGACAGCTGTTGCAGTTGAGCCTGGCAGGCTGCGCTAGCAGCTTCCATGCGGTCAACACGTGTGATGGCTGATCGCACTTTGGCGGGCTGCAGCTGAGACTCAAAGTGATCCACGCGCGTCTTAAGCTTTAGCATCGACGTTCGAATGTCCACCATGTCCACGGCAGGATTAGCGGCGGTCGCTTTCAAGTCCTCTATGTTGTTCTTGAGACCAGCCATTGCAGCTGCGACCTCTTGCACCCGCTCCAAACTTGAGGAACCCGCCGTTTCGATGCTGTCGATCCGGCGCTTTGAGCTGCAAACCTCGGCCTGCAAATCCTGGAACTCCATGATTGGAACCGCTTTCGGAAGGCCTTCCAGGGTAGCTTCGAGCTGCTCCAGGCGAGCCTGGACCTGCTCCAGTCCAGCGAGTGCCTCCTCTGAAGCTGACGGGACTTCCTTCGCGCCAGCACGTTCTGCCGGCCCTGCCTGTATTGAAACCTCAGTGACCTCGGCAACTGATGCCTCCAGCTCTTCCCGTCGCTGGCTTGAAGCGGCTGCTTCTGCCCTCTCCACCCGGTCACTCAGAGAAGGGGGGCTGCTTGCATCGACCTGACACCAGAAACTGTTTTGAAACCACAAAGCCTGGCCAGGCACTTGCTATAGGGCCCGAAAGCCTAGCCTGCACGAGTCTACGAATTGTAGGGGGGTCGGTTTGTGCGCCCACACTGCAACATACAAGCTTTCTGGCACCTCCACACCCGCCGCTGGCTTGCTGTCGTGTCAGTGTTTCGTTATCCTAGGCAAAGCTACGAAATCCTAGACACAGACACGCCTGCATCGCTGGTCGGTCGGCCAGTCGAGCGACTTCGCCCCTCACGAGTTCCACAAGAACATTTCTCCGCAGCAGTGACTTGAAAATTTTGGGCCGGCACTCTGCCTCAGGGCGTCCTGCACCTCCTGTAACGCCGCGATCTGATCCTTCAGCGTTGCAGTTTCTGCTCCTCGGCGGAGGGGTGCGCCAACATCCAACGCACAGTCACACAGTGGCGAATAACCTAGATGCTTGGAACACGTGTGTTCATACCTCTCGGTGTCGAGCTTGCAATGCAGTAGCTATGTCGCATGCCGAAACTGTGCTTGGGGACATCCCTAATTCTGCAATGCCACAGCTTTCAACACAAGGAAATAATTTTGGTCGCTGTTTGACCACGTCGCTCCTAAGGCATGAAACTCGCATATGCGCAGCCTCTCAACCCAGCAACAATCCCAAACAATGCTAACAAAGGTCCATTCCTTGCAACACGAAGATTATGAAATGGCTTATTCTTGAACATACTCAGACACCTGCTAGACATCGCGCCTACTTCACAACATCTCGGAAGCCTGTTCTTGTGAAGGCACCGAAGACGCGCGTAGCCACGGCGGCAATGTCCTCCAGGTGAAGCCCAGCCGAGCCTGACTCCTGCACGCCATTGGGGCCACCTGATCGGGGGCAAGCTTGAGATCCGCAGAGATGCTCAAGATGCTGCTTGACCTGTGTAATGCACGGATCGAGGGAAGGGGCGTGCTGCTGTGCTGTGGCCTGTGCTCCCGCGCAGTTCCGCCAGCACGGCAGCACGGCAAGCTTCCGCATCCTGAGCACGAAAACCCGGGCTTGTTGAAGCCTGCAGGCGACAGATTCTCGTCTCCCGACAACTGGATCGGTGAGGTGCACCACGTTCTTGAAGCCCAGTTGCCAAGCTCCGTGCAACTGGTTCGGCCTTCGAAACGAGCAGCCAGTCTATATACGCGATTTTCAGAGCGCGAAAAAGACTGCCTGCACCGGGACGGGAGCTCCCACGGTGAGGTTTTGCATATCCGACTCTATGGTTGTTTTCCACCTGAGCAAAGCTGCAAAGTTGGCAGGCCGCCCCCAACTGTGCATGCATCCCCTTGAACCCGTTTCAAGTTGCCTCTGCAACCGTGCCTCTGTAGCATCTGTCCGACATGCCTGGAAGCCATGTTTACACAAGACGGCGAAAATGCGAGCTGAGGCCGCAGACTAGATTGACGAGACATCGTTTCCACAGAACAGCAGCGTGAATTTGATCACAAAGCCCACCTGGGTCTCCAGCTGCTCCTGCAGGCCTTTGACGCTTGCGCCGAGTTCGGCCAAACGCCACTCCATCATGGGCCTCACAACCAGGCGCATGTAGCTCAAGGGTCAACTTCTCTCGTATGCACACGCATCTCTCGTGGCCAAGAAGCTGATTGGACATGACCTGTGCCACTTTCTCCTCCTCGGGAAGCTGTGGGCTGCGGGTTCCCGTCTCGTCCAAATAGCTACAATATGCAGTGATTTCGCAATGAAACAGGAACAAAAAGTGATGAGGCTGCCTGTACTCCATAGCGAGGCAAGTCACAAGTGAGGTCAGCACGACCTCCATTACGCGATCGCTCTGGCTTTGGATGCGCTGCAGCTGCCGTGACAGACGGTCATCCAGCTCCTCAGCTGTAGTAAGAACGAAAGACCACGCGCATGGAATGGCGAAGCGTAGCATAGCGTAGCTAGCGCTCAAGCATTGCCCAAGGCTCCACAAGCTCCTTTCGGACAATGCTTAGCCAGGTCGTGCCGGACCAACCCCTCGGTGCTCAACTTGCACTTAGACCCTGGGCATCAGCTCACCGACAGCGCTCCGCGGACCTGAAGATTCCGTACAAGCCCACAATATGGTAACATCCCCAGCGGCTCTGGCTGCGCATCGTCCGACAACAAACACCGTGACAGCGCCAGCATTTCTGCAGATTGGTCTGCTTGGCGGTGCATTTGCACCTGCAAGGGGACCGCCTAATGGGCTCTCGTGGCACCCGACTCGCATTCTCCTCGTCCCACTGACCTGGAGGTCCAGTTTGTGCCTTTCCGGCAGACGGGCAATGATGTCGGAGGCCACGAAAAGGCCTTTTCACGAGACTGCAGCAGACCTATCAAGTTTCATCTGTTGGGCTGTCATGATTCTGCAAAGAAGCCGATTCTGAACACGTACCAAATTCAGTTGCACATTTCCGATCCCCGTCGCCTGTAGGAGAAGCACCTGGCGACGTCTTCGCCGATCGGCTTCGCAGCGATCCTCCGCAGTCTACAACCGACAGGTAGTTTCTGCAACACGCATCGCACGTATCCATGACAACCAAGCCTGGTCGCTTGGGCGTCTGGCTGCCGTGGTCTGAGATGCAATTCACAAGGCTCCCTTTAGAACGACAGAGAACACGAAGCACAGCCGTCATGTCTGTCCTGGCAATACTACTCCTTAACAACCATGCAGGCCTTGCTCGACAGGCTCTTGGGCACTTCCCATCGGCTTTGGATGTTTTTGTGCTGATGTTCTGTCTCGTCTGGCTGGGAGCGACGTTTCGCGCAATCAGCCAGGTGTTTCAGCTGTCAGTGGGTGTAGGGTGGGGTAGGAGGTGGACGGTGGCCCTTTGCCCAGCACCCTACAGCTCAGCTGATTTCACGAGTTGACTGGCCTCAACATCCTATATCTGAGATGGCGAAGGAGCTCGTGGGGAGATTTTGCGCTCGCCGACTTCGAGGGAAGCTTGAGCCAACAAGAGAAAGGACCTGCCAACAACCTGCACTTCGAATAGAAGTGTCTGCTTCTCTCGGCTGCAACAAAGGCTATCTTGGATCATGCGGCTTCGCAACATGCAAGCAAAACTTGCTGTCACTGACACGCCCGTTTGTCTCTGATGTGTCAATGTCGGCAAGGTCACATGTTACTCCGATAGACCATGTCATGTCCGTTGTCTGCACTGCAGCTGTCTCACAGCAGCTTTGCATCATTCACGGGGCTTTTCTGACATGGGCATTAGGCCTCATTAGGCCCTCCGAGCCAAGCATTCTCTGGAAAGGGCCTACTGGACGACAGTGGTGTTCGATACCGGCAACTGATTGCCGAAAAATCTCGCGGCTCGCGCGTTCTCCCTTATTGGATGGCGCATCCTCCTTTTGGAGTTTCTTTTCCATCCTTGGCTACCGACAGAAGGCCGCGCATGTTGAACTTTGAAGCAGATGGCAGAACGGCCGCTGCCCCTCTCGTGGTGACCCCGAAACTTGTCAATTGACTGAGCAATCCGCACCAGCCATGGCACCTTGAAGTCACCCGTCGACGTGGGTGCTGCGTCCCCGAGAACCTTCAGCAACATCAGCAGGGTGAACTCACGCGCCGACATCAGTTTCAAGCACGAAAAGCCTCAACTTCTTTGGCAATCTCGGCTTTGACCGCATCCTTTTGGGCCTGCAAGCGAATGTTCATGAGTAAGGCTGTTTCTCGATGGCGGCCTGTTCTGTTTCGGAGCAGCGCCTGGGGAGCTGCTTCAAAGAAGCCCTGACTTTGCGTCTTCTTGGAATGGACCAACCTTCCATTCACCTTTGCCACCCGCACTTCGACACGATCTCCGATGCAATCCGGATCAATTCAAAGCGCAGCATTGCTGCCTATGATTGCCTTCATACATACAAGTTGCAGTGATTTCGAAGTTGCCAGTGGTTCCTGGATCGCGGGCCTGCACGACCTTGACACCTTAGACGCTCAGCTGTATTCAGGCACAGGTACATTGTGTACTTCGAACACTGAATCCACCAATTCCTGGAGTAGGGCCTTTTGGGAACCAGCTCAGGATCAGCTCTTCAGTTGCCTGGCATGTCTCAAGGGGAGGTGTGAATTCGCCGCACATTCGGTCACTGCCTTGGCATGCTTGCCATAGCCTCAGCCTCCACACCATTGAATCTTGACTTCCTGAGCGAGAAAACCACATAAATCTCTGTGGCACAGCCCTGCAACAGCAAAAGGTGCCCTGACTAGTACAAAATGGTACAGTAGTGGCCATTTCACAGTTGAAGCTCCGTGGCAACCATGGCGGCCATGGCGAACGCTGTGCTTTACGATTCCCGGCCGACTCTTTACAAGAGGTCGAACCACGACTACCAAGTGCTCTGCTCTGCTCATGTGAAAACGAGACAAGAACGATAGAACACGAGGTAGGGAGAGAGAAGACTGCCTTTTTTCCGCCTGGCTATCAGCAAGCGTTTCCACGATCGACAGAAATTCAGAGAGGCCACCTGGACCGCCATGACGAGCACTTTCAGCGTCTCCTCTCCGCAACGCGTCAGCGTCGCCGGCGTCTCCGGTGTTGGGAAAAACTTAGCACCTTTCTGTCACCAGCTTCTGCCATTATGGCGCGGCTTCGTGTGCTAAGCTATCTTGCGCTCGTGGCTGCGATGCGGTCCATGCTTAAAAACGCGCAACAGCAGCCACCCAATGGCGAACGTTGAGAAACTTTTGTGAAAAGCAGCACGTCGTCCTGGTGAGTCACCAACACAGGAGCGCTTTCAGCACGCCGCAACCTCAACGGCTTTAAGCGTTGGGTAGTGGCTGATGGGTCGCCTTTGCAGGTGCTCTCACACTCGGTGAAGCTGAGTGTTTTCTGCTGCCCAATTTATGCTAAGACGCGACATCGCGCAGTTGCTATACAGCTCGTGTCAAGGGATCTAAACATCTAAAAAGATATCAAGCAGCAGATGGATTCAGCTACTTTACTCTAAAAGCATCGAGTGAGCTGCAGCACAGGTTGCCACGGCTTTTGTCTGTGCATCTGTACAAGTTGTGGCTGTACGTCACTGTTCCATTAACCATTGTGGAATTGCCATCTTGGCACTCCTCGATCTCAAGAAACCAACACATGCCACCAGCGTCACATGACATGCTACATCATGCGTCCTGAGTTGCCGTCACGCGCTCTCCTGGGCAATGGTAGCAATGGTGCAACAGGTCGCTCTGCAGTGCAGGCTTGCAGATTGTCCATTGAATCCTGTCTGGAGCTTCAGAAACAGGCCAAGGATCACAGAGAAATTGGAGCTTCCACATCCACCGGTGGGGGTGGGGACGGGGACGGTGCTGGCAGAGAGACATCTTCTGGCAGCTGGCGCCGCAGAATCTCGCGCAGTCCGCCTTGCTGCACACGATGTGAGCAGTTCACTTCGAATTTTTACGGTCTATCAACGCTGCCACAAAGGCTCGAAGATCGCGGACGTCGTCACAAGACTCAAGGATGCGGACCAGCTCCTGACCAACATCAAGACGGCTGAGACTACTTGAGCAACAGCTGATGTCGGAACTCACGTCAATTCCATGCAAGCGGTTCATGCTCCAGGTTCACAGGCATCAACTCTTCATAGATATTCGCAGACAGCGTGTTGAAAGAAGGGCTCAGATTCTTCTGCAAGCTTCGAGGTTTTTTCAGTTCGGACCGAGATCCGCCCAGTGACCATATGCTCGTGTCCGACTAACTGCAGTTCGGGCTTTTCGACAAGGTGATCCTACTCGAGCTGAGGACTTGGCTCCTTTGTGACGACTCATGGCAGGTCAGAGCATGTGTTCGACACCTCTGTGCTTGACTCCTAACCTGGCCAAAGGCCCGGAACCCCCAACCTGCCCCGGGCCTCCCCAGTTCTCCCGTGCTTTGCTAGGCTTCTCCGTAGGTTGAACGGCTGAAATGCTTCTTCCAGCACGAAGAAATGAAGAAACCAATTTGGGGAGCACGGTATGACGAGCCCACTAGCACAACGGCTACGAGTAAGGCGGCATAAGGCGGCTAAGGCGCTGAAACGACGACCAGGGTATCATTCCGCGCCGACAAGTGACCGGAAGCCGCCTGCCAAAGCGGCCCCGTGTTAGCCCTCATCACCTGTTGCTCGCCTTGAATCATGTCTGCTACTCAGTACATCTACCCCTCGCTCAAATGGCATGATGCTGCGGCTCCGGCCCTGGGCAATCGAAATGCCGTTGGTGAAGAAGAAACTCCTGCGAGCTGTGGTAGGCTCCGGTAGCTGCACTCGAGCCACATTGCAGGGCTTGGGCTGCGCCAGCCCACATTCCGAGCTGGGCATGCCTATGTCGAGTCCTGCCAGGGAAGACGAGCTGCTCGCTCGACGCCTGACCACATTTGGAGAAGCTCCTGCGGGATGAAATCAAAAAGCCGGCGCTGGGCGGTAAAAATCACTCAGAGAACAAACCGATGTCTAAGTCCTTGCAGGGAAGACGAGGTGCTTGCTCGACGTCTGCTGGAGTGTTCGTCATGCACAACATATCCTAGCAAGTTGTGCGCTGGCATGACAACTTCCAGCCAACTGGCCAGGCTCTTAAGCTCGTCTGCTACGCAGAAACCAAACAGCGTGGAAACTGTGGCCTGGCTCATGAAACCCTTACGGAAAACCTACGAGAATGTTCGTGTGCGAAAACCGATGAAGTGCAGATTGAGCTCTCAATGCAAAATCATCGTCCAGCACGCTGAGAAACACTTTCAAGTTGTCCTTAAGGTCGGATGCAAGGCAATATGACGTGGCATGTAATGACAACCGTCCGAGTGCATAAGCGTCTTCACAATGTTCGGTTTGACTGCTGCTTTTTTCCCACTGCCACGGATCATCATCTAGAAACGGAGGAAGCGCCATGAGCTGCAAGAACACAGGCACATAGGATGGCAGCAGATACCTGGAATTCGAGAGAAGCCAAGCCGGAAAGACTGGACAAGCACTGCCAGTACTGCCCCTACTCGTTGGAGACCCCAAGCAAAGTAAGCTGCTTCGAGGGTACAGAAGCAGCAGGTAGAGGATCACAAATCCGGCAGCGAGTAGAAGCGTAAACTCGAAGTGCCTGCGGCAAGATTGGGCTTTTTCTAAAATGCAGGACAGCTGCAGCTTCCGGTCCAGGTTGACTTGCAAACTGCAGCTCGGAAGTTGGTCCACTGTGGCATACGAAGGGGCCACAGCCGACAGGCTGTGGCGTGGAGGAGATCTGCGGCGGATCAGTTCCCCAGAGAACCCAATACCCCTTAATTAAAGAATATACCTTAAATTATAGGGGCCCCAATATTATGATTTACGGTATATTCCTTGATTAGGGGTATTGGGTTAAGGAACCAAACTCCACCCAGTTTCGTCTCGGCTCGCAAAAAGCCAGCGGATCCAAAGTGGTTGACAAGCGCCGTGTTTATCCTACACTTTTCAGGTTCTTCAACTGGACTCTTCGGCCGAAGGCTCCTGCCTAGAATGAACTTATTGAACTTTACGAGATTCCTGTGTGTCTTGGCAGTTGCGATGGTTGCCTCTTCCATGCGTTGAACTCGACGACAGACCGTGAGAACGTGTAGGAGATCACAAACCTCGGTGTGCACCGAGCATCGGCCGACCACAATGCTCCAACAAGAAGCCATCCAGAGTTCTCCAAGGGGCAGGAATATCTGCAGGAAACGATTGATGTACCTCAGCCGACGCCGCATCTTGCTGCAACAGTCTAGGGCTTCTTCAATGCCGAGAGACATCTCAGGGGAAAATCGGCCCCGTCCCTTCAGGGTGGCGCCGATCACACTTTCCTCAGCCTGGGCCGGCAGGTCCGTCGTTGCATTGGTTGAGAGCTGCACATCAACTCACGCCTAGTTCGACAGTCCTTGATGCGGTTTGCTGTCAAGCCGCCGGAGTGCCGAAGTTTGATGCTGATGCTGATGCTGTTGTCACTCTGGGGATGACAGTGCGAGCATGTACGCCTGAGCGGAAAGGAAATCTAAAGCCACTTTAGAGGCAAGCTGCAATTGCTACATCCCAGACGAACACCACGGTCGACAAGACATGCTGTTAACGGCTGACTTTCACACTAGCACCATCGCAACCTGGTCAAGGTTGATTTGCGTCGGAGCACCGTCTGTCGACTCCGATGGGAAGTTCAGAGCATCCTGCAACCAACTCTGGCTGTGGTCCTGGATGGCGCGGAGCCGCCACCTTAACGATTCCACAAAGAAACTTCACTGTATCAAGATCTGCTTAGGTGCGCCAGAGTTGCTTGGTCAGCATGACCATGAGTAACCTGGGATCCACAGAACTGGTGGCAGCAGTGACAACCTGCACCTTTCTACCTCATGCGGAACACACCTTGCAACCGCTCACTACACTGGCTTGTCACAAGCGACAGCAGCAGCAGTGCCACCGCGACGAAAAGTGGCCTCGAGGGGAGTGACGAAACCCTCCGTTTGGGGGCGGGATCGAACAAACAGATCGGACAAAGATCCAACTCAGTTGCTGTATCCGATTTCGGCTCTCGCACTTGCACCCCATGCGGTTTACGGCATTGACAAACGTCAAAGGGTTTTCCTAGATTGTCGACTACCTCAGAAATCCACTCCCCTGTGATGATTCCTGAGACACACTCGGACAACAAGTATCTTCCATACTGAAGAGCAGATACATGTGGGATCCACTTCAAGCAACGACCTGGAGCCTTGAGCCGTGGCCATCTGACACGGAAGGTTAAGGCGGTTAAGGTTTGCATCTCACAGACGGATTTTGAGCAAAACACAAGGATGAAGGATGTTTGGGGCCTTGTGCAAAAAATCCTTGGCGGCTTATTCCTTCAACCTGCAGTCCAGATCCTGCAGTGACCAGTCAACCCAGTCTAGAGGCTTATGGCTCTGGAACGCTGGAACGGCATGACCTAGCATGGCTTTGTGCCAGGGGGCATCATGTCGAGAATGTTCACTTGCGCGAACCTGTACAGCAGCGCCAGCACCTCAGATGCCCACTGCCAGCAGAAGAGTAACACTCTGCTGGCTGCATCAGAGAAGGCCTGTGCACACAAAGCAAACATATATTCGCAAAAGAACTGCTGATTCACCAACTTGTGAGGAAGACGGACCACCAAACCTGCTCGAACCAATCGCAAGTCCCTGCCGAGCTTCGCTGAAAAGAATGATGATGGCAATCCACGTGCCTGAGAAGCACAGACTGCTTGCAGAACCACCGGGTTGTCAAACCTCCTTGACGCCACACATATATAAAAAGCAGAATGAACGGAATAAAACCCGCCACATTCCTGAGTCACGAGACTCTCATTGTTGATTGTTGTTCCTGCCTGCCTGGGATTTCGTCATTCACCCCGACGACAACTGGACGAAACACATGTGCCAAAAAGCAGCGAACGTGTCCCAACAATCCACCAGGCTGTAGTGGGAGAAACAAAAGCGAGAGGACCTTCTCAACGATGACGGATGCAACTGGCGAAGCACATCTTCTGCTGTAATATTCTTTTCTATCCTGTGGAACAACCTTGGCCCTGTCCCGCCTCCACATATCCCTGCCCAACTCTTTAAGTATGTTTAGTCTTGCAGAATCGGCAGTGGGGCTCTCACACAACGCAAACACTCGGTTGCCAGCAATTCCCCCAAATTCCTCTAGGGACTCTTCAAAGATGCCACCGCCTATGACTGCAACACTCGGTGAACAGACACCAGCGACCAGCTTGTTGCAACTGCTGGACCAGCATGCAGCTCGATGGAGTCTTTGACCCCCTTCTCGACGTTCAATGCCTTCTGTGGGTGTCAAAAGCAGTATGCCCGCCATGCGTTGTTTCCCTACGATCAATCGTACAGCCACAAGTGCTTGCGGCCTGCAGCCTAAGGCTTGCAAGTGGCCAGATAAGAGCTGAAGGCAAAGCAGTCGTCCATCATCTCTTTGATCTGTTTGTCGATCAACTCTTTCTCTTCTAAGGTCGCCTGGTCGTCTGGATCTTCTGGCAGCAAAAAGCACCCTCGATGACATTTTCGATGGTAGGGCTACTGGAGGACTGCTGTGGCTGCAACAATTGAAAGCATGCCTCCGGAGCATCAGGAGGAATGCCCAGCTTGGCTTTCAGGTTGGCGTAGATCCTGGGACCTCAGCTGAAAGCGCTTGAGACAGCAAGGATTGTGCAGGCACATGGCAGCACTCCCACTGCATGACACGCGGCGGCTGTATCTCCAGAGCAGGACTTTGTGGATGAAGTACTCCCGAAGACATAACTCGGATGCATCTCGAGCTGCCAAAAGCTTGGCCCGGCGACAACACTCACGGCTTCTGCCAGGGCCACCACACGGGTTCGCGCAGGCATTGGTCGCATCAACAGGCATTACTTGCTCAGAACAAGGGACATACTCTCGCAGCTCTTCATCTCTGGATGTTGCTTGTAGCGCAGTAGATGGACTTCGATACCTGAGACCCCGAGATGGGTGCAGAAGGTTCTGGAACGCCCACGGGACTCAGGTCTGAAAAAACCAGGCCAAAGCTTTGGCCCTCGTTCCATTTCTCTCACGGAGTTTTGTAAATGCAAGCCAAAGTGCACAGCTTTGTTACTGATCCTTCGAAGGCGCAATCGCTCCAGGCTCTTGAGCTTCTGCACCTCAATTGAGACCCGCATTCAAAGCCAAGTCCAAGCCTTTTCAAAAGTCATCTGTTCAACCTTATGCACATCTTTGGCCTTGGGTCGACGAGGACACTCGGAGTTCTACGATCTTTCAATCATGCGGGCAAGCTACAGCACCACGCACAATGCCAAAGACGAGCAAATAATACATCATCATGCCTGCGGAAGTGCTTGCATCCATAACTGACGAAAGGCGTCGACAGCTTGCAGATCACATGGATCAGGAATCAGTATTATGGGGGGTGGGTGCAGACAAGCGTCCACAGAACAACTGCACGTGCACCAGCTCCTTATTCTGCGTTTCTGTGCGACATCTCTTGGAGTGAAAACAAAAGCCTTCATCAAGAAACCTTACATTTATTTCCTCAAGATTGTTTGATAACACTCGCTCGTGCT